GAGGGTGCATATACTTGCAATTTATTATATATTTGTTACAATAGTTCAATTGGATGTTATTCATGAAAATATGAGAAATGTCAATAAAAAAAATATATTTATATATATATATATATATATATATATATGTATTATAAATTTATAAATATAATCTAATTCAACTTATAATTATTAGATAAAAATTCAAAACTTGGTTTCATTAGAATCTCTAATTTTTTTCAAAATAAGATGTAAAAAGATAATTTGTTTATGTATTTATTCATTATGTTATAAATTAAATATATTTTTTAATTATTAAAATCTTCGATAAACATTAAAAAAGGAAATAGGAACCAAAGCGTTCATTTTTAAACAACTCTACTGATTTGATACAGATAGTTTAGCACTTACAAATTAACGAACTATTCCAACCAAATAAATTTTACAGGAAAAGACACACAACCTATTACAAACGGGCAACACTTGCAACGTTTTTTCAGTTCAATATGTTCTATCACCAACAAAAATATCCTTTTCAAGACAACGTGGTATCATGAACACTTAAAAGTTACATCAAGGCAAAGTATGCGAACAACACGTTGGACCAAGTACTCATACTCACATACAACCGAAAACTGAAATAGAAACAAGAACAAAAAAGGGGCTACTTACTCCAATAACATAAATAAAACAAACCAACTCACAAATCGATATTGTTGGCTTGCCCTTTCTCTCACCAACGAAACAGATCATGTGGGTTCCCATGAAATTATCATATCTCAATAGAACGGAGAGTAACAACTACGTAAAAGCCATCGATACAATCGGACGACCATCTACACCTCAAAGACAGAACACCCGACTAACACGACGAGACGAAGCACAAGGGCTCACAACAGTCGTTAGCCCCAGGGTCGGACGGGTCCGCGCAGGGAGGAGCGAAAGAGTAGTCCGAGGACCGGAGACAGGTCAACCTGGGTGATAGGTCCAACTGGGGGATAGGTCCATCAACTGGTGATAGGTTCAACTGGTGGTAGGTCAAGCTGCGTGGTAGTGCTGGTGCTGCTCTCCCCCCGTAGCCAACACTCGCCGGACAGGTTGTAGGGAGCGGGAGCTATTTCTCAAGATATACTGGAGATATGAACCTTGTTTCTAGATTCCATTTAACGCTGTTTGGTTGATCAGTTGTACTTGGTGATGCTACGCAGGTTGTGGAGGTGTCGGTAAACGATAAACCAATGAAAAGCGGCGTCCAAATCCAGAAATGCCGGTACCTCGAAACCAGCGGGTGCACAGGCCTTTGTGTGAACTCATGCAAGATGCCCACACAATACTTCTTCACGAAGGAGCTCGGCATGCCTTTGACAATGGAGCCCAACTTCGAGGACATGAGCTGTCTGATGATTTTCGGACAAACTCCACCTGCATTCGAAGACGACCTGGTGTTCAAGCAAAAGTGTTGCACCACATATTGTCCAACGTCAAGTCAAGCCTCAGAGGTGTGTCCGAAACTTAGGTGACTGCACAACCCAATTCTGTGAACATCTCATAGCTGTGTCGGTGAAAAACAAACTACTACAGTTGACGGCTTCACACATCCTGAGCATGATGTGTTAAGCATCACATTCACAGACCCTAACATAGTCTAAAAAACTCATCGTTCTACAAAGTATATATTTTTCAGAGAACTTGACAAGCTTTGTAATCTGAAGTGAACTGGGGTTATTCCACATGTAACGAATGCTATTCATTGATCTTTTGCCTACCAACCGCACCTATAGTTACGCAACTGCCACCTTTCTGTTGTAGAGTTGTGAAGCCCTAGAATCCATACCTACCTGCATGATATTCTCTATCATACCACTACCTGTAGTGTGATTTCAGACAGTAAGATGTATTTAACTCTAGAAGCATGCGTATCTAGTAGTTGAAGAGCAACTTATGCTGTGTGAAGATTTACTTTATTAAAGCTTTCGTCAAATAATAACAAAAATAACAGTAACAGTAGTTATAATTTTATATTAGAATTTCCACCTGTTCACACAATGTTGTGTAGAAGAAATTGGGTTTTTTTGGAAGTTGTGGAAAACATTTTTAGTCGATATGAATAAAACTGTATTAATCGCCATCCTTGCATTTATTCAACATATTCATACTGCTTTATTTTCTTTTATCAGAAACTAACATCTACGTTCATAACTGTTTGGCTCAATCACTTTGGGGCCTTGTCTTCGTTTCGAATCTTTTGTAAGCTTTCATAGTTGTACCTAGTAAATGTATTAACTTGCATATTATTCCAAACATTAAGTTTTGTTAATCATTAGCTAATGATGCTATGGGAAAAATAATAGATAACTGTACTTATGGTTGTATCATATTTATTATTCATGTATATACCTTTCATATTCCCTATCTAAATCACCATAATATTATTCTCCGTTCACAAATGAACGTAATAAATCCGTCTATGTTTTTATAAGCGTAAGTAAGCCGCTTAATTAGCAATATTCGATTTTACTAATGCCTTGACCATGGCGGCATCATCAGCTTAAAAGGTGGTAAAACGACTATTTCTCAAAAGCGGCGGAAGCTGGATGTGACAGAAGCGATGAACAGAATGGCGAAAGTAATCCAAACTGTTGTGGCAATCTCTTTTGACGTATACCGACAATTAAATATTCACTCGTGAAAACTCACCTAAAGCTGAACGTTTTTCTTTATTGATTTAAATTCGGGAGAATCTAGAGTACTATGTGCGGGCACTTGGTCTAGTGGTATGATTCTCGCTTTGGGTGCGAGAGGTCGCGAGTTCGATTCTCGCAGTGCCCCTCCCTCATGGAAGCGGTATGTTCGAGTTTTGTTAATTTGGCGTTACATGCTGAACCCAGGCTTTCGGGACAGAGAGGAAGATTATTGGAGTGTCATCTTCGCTTGATAAATAGCACCAGTTTAATCGATCGACCCCTGTTTCATCTATCAATTGCTGCAGACAAGAGAAAACAAATTCTCGGATTGTTCATGCCGTGGAAAAAACGTTCAATGTGAACGCCGCCGTAGAAATCCGATTAGCCATTTGTTAATTCTGTTGGGTATTCTACCTGTGCGCAGTATTTCCGGCGGAACGAACTGCCGACCTGAATTGTTACCTGCATCGTCTCTTCTCCGTGGACAGCACAGTGCTCTTCCCGCTTGCAGTGACAAGGATGTTTGCCACCTAGTGCCAAAAATTGCTCATGAGCCGAACCAGGATGCGGTTCTGGGGTCAAATTGGTGTGTCACTGGACGTCAACACATTGCTTGTTTACTCTATTTTTCTGTGTGTTTTAATTTCTAAATTTTTTTCCTCGTACCTTTTTCTCCTTTTTGTGGGAACAGTATCAATGTGTGGATTTGTTAACTTTAAGTTTGCATGTAGAGCTGTTTTATTTCATTATTATTACTAGTATACTACGCAAAACGTGACATATATTATATTTAAAATAACTGAAATACTAAAATATATTATATCTTCCCACATGGGTCAGTCAATCTAACCATTCAATACTTGGAAACCTAATAGATTGGAAATGTGTGTATAATTTATCCTAAACGCAATAAATAATACTCGTCACACGGTACTGAAAAAACATCACTTCGTACTGAACATGTTCATGAGTGTTTTCATGGATATCTTGTGATTATCAAAAAAAAACACACATCATAATCACTAAAAAAACTATATTCAGCTCATATATATGCTGATCAACCTCAAAAGATTACTTGTTACCCTAACTTGAACAATAAAACTCTGATCACAAGAATAATAAAATTTCATGAGCCAAATTAAACAATTAAAACTGCAGGAGAAGGAAATTAACTTCGTTGCATACAGGAAAGCACCAGCTCTATGATCTAAAACCAGAAACAGAACAAATACCGATAAAGAAACTCATTTTGCCCCTTCATGTGAAACATTAACAAGTATCTCAGCAAGCCAAATACACAAACAAAACCAAACAGCAACGCTGTAACAACTGAAAGAGTACAGACAGAAGACCAATTTGTCACAACAATATGCACGTTCAATTTGATACCAACAAGATAACAGAACTAAATTAAAAAACTTACAATGCGAATGTACGTAAAACATAAAGAGAAAACACATCATGCTGCTAGAACTGCAGACAATCGACTCAAAAATCAATTGCACCGTACCACCTTCGTAAACTTCACTGACATTGTTCAAAATTATACGGGAAAAAGTATACGTGCTAAAGTGTACGAGAAAATGTGGGTGCACGGCAGGGGCAGGAGGGGGGGAAAGTGGGCAGTAAGAACAGGAGCAAGAGCAAGAGCGAGAGAGAGAGCGCGAGAGAAAGACAGAGTACCGGAAGGAATGACGGAGGGTGGGAGAGAGGGAGGGGGATAGGTCCATCTAGGTGGTAGGTCAAGCTGCGTGGTAGTGCTGGTGCTGCTCTCCCCCGGTAGCCAACACACGCCGGATAGGTTGTAGGGAGCGGGTGCTTTCGGTAGATTGGCAGCTCGGTCCATCCGAGCTGGCCTTCACTCCCTCGCCCTCTCTCCCTCTCCCTCCCTGTTCGTCGTCGTTGTCGCTGGCCATGGCTGTGCCTCGCCACTCCGCGGCCCCCATTCTCATGTGACCATGGTCCCTTGCCTCTCGCCAGTGTCCACGCCTCTCCTGCGCGAGTCGCGTCCCTCGCTGTGTTCGTTCTGAAGTCGAGCGCCCTTCCGCTCGCAGCGGCGAGCTTTCCAGCACTCCTGCTCGTCCTTGGTGGCCTGTTTGAATCTTCAGCTGCTTGAGGTATGTGAGTCGCTCCCTGCTCGGTAGACGGCAGAGTCTCCCCACGGGTCGGTGATCTTTATGATTGCATGACATTTGTTGGATCTCGAGTGAGTCGGAAAGGTTTTTGCAGGTGAGAATTCGTCGGCATGTTGGCGTCGTGCTGCTTTTTTGCTCTCAGGGCTGGATTGTGCGATTGTCGTGGAAATTCGTGAGAGCTGTAGGATTTTTGTGCTGCCAGATGTCGGGAACCTGAACATGCTTCAATGCCGTCGAGACATTCTAGTATGAGCCTGGCCGCATTGGCGTCGTGTTTGTGGTGGAGATACGTTCTGGAGAACGTTAGCATTCCGACGCGTGCCTTGGCAATCGTGAGTGCGCCCGTGTCAACGGTTGACGGGATTTCGCAAGTGAGGGATTGCGCGATTTTGTGGTTAGGTGTTGCTTGGATTTGGAATGACCGTATCAGCGTCAATTTGCACACGCCTGGGACAAGCGCAAGTGATCCCGACTTTCGAAATTTGGTCGCTGGGATGAAGATCCAGTGACCGGGCGTAGCGCCTCCAAAGTTGCTTTTTCCGATGGTGTAATTTGCATCGCGTTTTCGTTCTGAGGGTCGAGATTGCTCTTCCTGGTTGCGGAGCGATTCCCAGCGCAAGGCTACCTGCGTGTGTGATTTTCTGTTCGCTGCTTGGGGGATCGTTCCGAACAGAGTGATGTTTTTGTAGTTTTATTTTGACGAAGGACGAGCATCAATGGCTGTCTTCAATCTGGATCGAAGTTTTTGAGCAAGCGAAATTATGCCGAGCGACCACTCCTTCTCTGATGGAATGCCTGCACTGACCTCCACATCGAAGTGGCCTCGGTATTTGCGCCAGCGTCTACACATATCCCAAGTTTGCAAGTGACGGGGTGTGGGTCTTTCCATGGACACAGTAAATTGCATGCAATAACAACACGTGCTCAGTGATCTACAGATTGAGCCGGTATTCGCTCACACGTTTTTATTGCTGTGCATCATGTGACACTTGTTCGCCGTGTTGGCAGCAGAGGTCTGGACTGGTTGAGCCAAGATGATGCAAACGCGGAAGGACATTTTGGAAATCGACAGGGAGAGTGTGATTGTCATCTCCAAGACGAAGCTCACAGATGGCTTACTCCATCTGCTAGGTGCGTACTTCACGACTTCACATTTTCCTAGTAGACGCTGCTTGGACTTTGCAAGGATTTGGCGTGCTACGCCTTACCATGTGGTGATTCGGACTCTGTCGACTTTTTCCATGAACCTGAGCAAATTTCAAGTAGGAACAGTTCCCTTACATGCAGGCGTGAATGGTGGTTGAAATATGTGTGCACTGCACTGAGAGGAGGCTGTGACCTTCCTGGCTCATTTTTGTCCACGATTGTTGACAGGGCCAGATGAGAGGACGGAGTTCAGAATTCTGTGCAGACGAGTTGAATCCACCATACGTGCTTGGTACAACCTTCAGTTTGAGGACTTGAATGTGAGAAAGAGGTTTCCTGCTAGCAAATGCAGGCTGTTTGCTTCAAGTCTTGTTCCAATTTATAGTATGCTCGAGGTCGTAGTGTGTACAAGAAGCTATGGAATCACTGTGCGCATTTTACGGACGCAGTCAAACCTCGATGTGCATTGGCTTGTAGTGTCGAAACGATTACACAAAATGAATTGTCGGGTCGCTGACCTCAATTTGTGGATCGGGACGAAGTGTATGGATCTTTACACTGGGTGGATAAGGATAATCATTCGTAAGCCTGCATCGTGAAGTAGGAATTGAGGGTTGGCAGGGGACACGAGTTTGTCGTCCCGTCCTGAGCTGATGTATGAAGCCTGACATGTATGACTGAGTTGATCATGCAATGATGAGCTGATGCACAGTGATCACAATGCTGTCCAACCACGGTAGCCTGTGAACGACAAAGTGTTTAGGTGTTGAGATTGCGATGACGTTGACAACCTGCTATCATCTCTGTCTGGAAACCGCTGGTCTGATTTCACCCCACATTTATATCGCAGCATCTGTATTCACTATTCGATCCTATCCACGGGCGGAGGAAGTTGGAGCAGTTGCATCTCAGTCCGGCGAAGGTGGATGTGATGGAGCAGCGGTTCCTGAAAATCTTGTTCCAGGTGCATCTTCTGCTCCCGCTTCTTCCACTGTCACCGCGACTATTGTCGGCATGTTGTGTTTAATATTGAACACGCCGATTTGTTATTCATTTTCACTGTTGTGTTTTAGATTCCTCGTTCAAGTTTCGGGTGTAATGCTTGGACATGTATCAGGCGTCCAAATCTGCGAGGAACCGTACAGAACATGATGTAGTGTACTGGCTGTTGCCTTTAGATGAGGTCCAAATGTAGAAGGTTGTGATGGATGGACACGGTCGCAGCGAGATTTGTGTGCTGACTTGGCTTGGTGCACCTTTGGTGTGACGAGTAGGTAATGGAGAAGAGCAACTTTCAAATACTGAACGATGCCGAGGTAGAACTGGCGCAGTCAGGCCAGTACCTTCTAAATATGCCGATTGCGGTTGACAAATTCAAGGTGCTTCAACGAAAGCAAGCCTTTAGATTATGAGTTGGGTGTGCTGTCCACCATGAGTGTCGCAGCATATCGTGTAACGCTTTGATAGCAGTTTCTGAAATCAGTTCATGGGATTCGTTGGGCGGTGCGCCTCTGCAAAGCGATGCTTTTCATGGAATTGAGGATTCGCAGGGTTTCGTTACTGAATCTTGACCCTTGACCCTTGCAGTTGGACAAGAGGTTGTTTACAACATATTTCAAGGAGAATAAAGTTGATGAAGTGCCTTCTTATGCGGATCAGGTATTTTTGAAACTCGTGTTCTTAAAGTAATTCTCTGAGGCAGTGTGAAGACTTTCGATAGGTAAGCAATGGTCGTCATGCGATTTGAGTTGTATTCCTCGGCTCGATGTGAGTGTACTTTGTTGGTAGGTCTCCCAGTTCATGAACGTAGACTGGTCACTGGTGTTCAATTACTCGCCGAAGAGGATGTTTGGACCCGTGGCAGGTTGTTTGGAACAACGGGTTTGTGGGCTTCACTTCCAGATGCTTTTGATTAGAGGCATTGATGTGTCGGACTTGGTTCCTTACGTGGTGGAAGAAGTTCAGGTGTTGAAGTGTTTTGAGTGTATGAATACGCCATCGAGTTTTCTTTTTGTTTGTGTATTTTTGGTTTCAAAATCAAAAGAGAAGTAAAAGTATCTGACGCCTTGATGCCATCGTTTGGTTGCAGTACGTAATTTTCCGACGCGGAATTGGAATCGACAGAACCACAGATTATTTCATCATGCCCAAGCTGGATCTCCTCATTGAACGCACTTGGGGTTGGGGTCTCGAAAAGTTGGGGTGTGATGTTCTTACCATCTGTGGATTCGAAGCGCACGATGTCAGACTCGGGTTCACGATAATTGTTCGCTTGTTTGACCCCGCATCCGTGTGTGCACCAGGCTGCGGAAGGTGAAGACTGAGGAAACTGTGAACCTACACTCTTTGTCGAGAAAGGGATCGAAAGGGGAGAAGAGGATTCAAGACGGCGCGCAGAATGAGGAGAAGGCTCCAGGAGCTGACAACAACGAGCTTCGGTTTGAACGTATTCGAATACAAAATATGGATCTCAGGTGATGAGAGTTGGCCATGGTACCTCACTTTTCAACGCCAAGTGTTTATATTGGAGTCCTTCTGCAGGAATTCGCTGAAGTGCATACCTTGCTATTGGAAAGTCGAGTTTGCTGTATGTACGATGTCGCCTATAGTTGGCTGACATAGTGGTCAATGCTTCAAAGACTCTCAGGGTGGGGTTCAAATCAGGATTCTGTCTTTGGTGTCATGCTGGATTGTTTTGGTACGGGGAGGCTCGTTTCCATGAGAGTGCAGAGACTTGTTGGAAACGGGCATTGGTGATGTCGAGGATCGCATGTTGTTGTTCCGGTGATCGGATCACATGAGATTGAGAGCTATAAGATGAGACGTTACATAAGTGTGATGGTCGTGACGCAGTTTCAAGAATCTGTTCACTCAGAATACAGTGCAGGAGCCCACATTCGACCGTATGATCGTGGTTTATCGGTAAGTGCACCAGAATACTAGTAGGCATACGGTAAACTGCGATGCGGAGGGTGGTTGGAAGGGCAACACTCCATGTTGAGAGCCTCAAGTGTTTCAATGCTGGACTTCACATTTTGAGTGCATCGGGTTGGGATCTGGAACGATCGTGCTGTATGGAGTTATATTTCTGTGTCTAGAACTGGAAATGCGAAGGAGTTTGCTTGTTGAGGAGGATTGGGTTCAGCGAAACCACAGTGAAATTGGAAATATGTTTTGATGTGGGTTTTCCTATGAGCAGGAATGCCTCGAAACCACACCACATCCTTGATCCCCTGGGAGACAGAGCCATTCACATCCGGCATTTTCGAAATATTCCTATGGCAGACATGGAGCTTGTTCTTGTAAGTTGTCGATACTCGTATGCTCATAACAGTTAGCGGCAAGCCTGAGAGCTAGTCATGGAAGCAGTATTTTGCATTGTGGGACTGCGTATTCCTGGATTGCTGCAAGACTTGAAGAGTGGTCTCTCAGATTTGGGTGACATCCGAGCAATGGTGATTGTCGCTGTCGCTTGATTCGCTCTTGACTAAGTTGGGCTGTGTCGCCCTTGGAGTCGCAGTATGGAGGGCGTCCTGCTTTTAAATTAGCGCATGCTTATTAGTTCACTACCGGTTGAGTTAACCTCGTGTGTGCGATTGCAGCCTGAGAAGAAGAATCCAGGTTTGACACCTATGGACTGGGTGAAACTAACTATATCGGCAGTTCTTGGCCTGGTAAGCCTGACCTTCAATCACGTGTGATCTCGGCACTCTTCCATGATATGGTTGTCACGTGGTGGTACAGAACACTTTGGGGCTGGACAGAAGCATCTATTTTAAGCTGCGTGAATGGTGCGCAGGTTGCCTTGATTGGATCGACAGAATCGGGGAAAGGTGACGTATGGGTGCTAGTTGCAGTCCTGGGTGGCATAATTGGATACATTGCAAAGATATATTTCACGTGAGCACTGTTTGAATCCAGAACTTATTTTGTATGACTAAAGTAATTATGGAATGTTTGTTCTTCCATCCCGTGTGCGTTGTTCCTCAATGCCAGATGATCTCTCTAAACCGTTGGATAGTTAGGTGCTCAAATTACCACCAGTGCGTGGTCGCCAGAAATGAAGGCGCAAAGAGGATGGGTGGGAACGGACGGGCTCATGAGCAGCGAGTTACAACTTGGTAGGAGGAAGTTGGATAACTTGAAAAATGAGGACGTTACTGATAGCCTGGGTGGAGTTGTTTGCAGGTTCCATGCCAATCTGGAGGCGTATCAGAATCTTATTACTCAATCCTTGTATGACAAGCAGCTCGATAGCGGAAGGGGAACTCTACTCCATCTATGCGATGATGTCATCCAGCAAGAGGTGTGAACTTTGTCACGAAGCGGGGCGTTTTTTGTGGGGTGCGATCACTGTAAATAGCTGTGTGTAGGCATGTTATCGATTGTGACAGGCGTTTGAATGAAGAGTCGGGTTTGCGTATGAGAGCGTTTTTAGATGATCATTGGTATCCTAAAAGGTTGCATGTCGAATGCGAGGGTTGAGGGCAATGACTATGCGTTGGGCTCAAACTCGTGATGGTAGAGAATGACAGTGCTTGTTTTGTGCAGGTGAAGGAAGTGATTATGGCTTACTTTGTGTTAATGAGCCAAGGCAAAGCTACTGATCTGGTGAGTGATGAATCAAGGGAGCCCACTGGAGGAATGCTCGTGCGTGTCTGGTTAGTCGGTATACGTTAGTTAGTATATTTGCATGTTATTTCGATGTCCAAACCTAAGCATGGTGTCTAAGCTGCAATCCTCTCGGAGCTGGTGATTATGCGGGCATGCGAACGGAGAGACACTGCACTGTTGGTCCGGCTGAGTTGACAACCGGAACGCGTGATGTGAAACAGGAATTGGATAAACGGTGCGAGGAGTTGATGGCCACAAAGTTTGGTGAGAAATGCGATTTTGATGTAGAAGATGCACTAGAGAAGCTGGAAAAGTTGCAGATCATAACGAAAGTAAGCCTCAGTTTTCGGAACTTGACGTTCACATCAGCGCTCGTCGTGACGTTGTTTGGAAACTTCATGGTTATTGGAATTTTCTGTATCCAGGGTGATGGTGCCTTTGGCGCATCCATCGGCGAAGTTTGAGGTCTTGGGTTTTGGAGGTCTTCATGCGAACCGGATTGCTGTAGTCGGTCGCGTTTGTCGATTTTACTTGTTGCATGATTTGGAGGATATCTGGTTGTTACGAGCAGAGACCATGAAAAAGAACTAGGGATTGTTGGTTTGAAATGTCATGGTCAATGTTGAGCGAGGAAGGTTCGGACTTGCTCAGGGTGGGAATGGTGCTGAGTGGTTGCCATTGATACGGAACTGTGCAGGATGTGAACGGGAAGTACTCGCATCAACCTCTGAGAAAAGCCAACGACGCTATAGGTGAAACCACCGATGAGCTTGTTGAACGGAGAAGCCGGTGATTAGAAAAGGCTTTATGTTATCCCTATCGAGATTCAATGAAGGCTGCAGGGTTTTGTAAGAGCATTGGAATAACTGCAGGCTTGGAGGAGGAAATTTTCCTTGTGATATTCTCTGACAAGTAGTTTTGGACAGGTTTGTGTGTTTGTAAATGCGCAACGCACCGTAGTTTGTTCCAGCGCACAACACAACCACTGCTCAGCTTTCTCCCAAGTGTAGTAAAATGGGTTTTTCTATTCCACATCCAGGCCCATCCTTGGTGTGTATCTGGGTGCTTCAGCGCGGGCTGCTATTAGCTTGTATTTTCATCAGCTTTTACCTTATTTAGGTCTCATGCTGAGGTCTTCACACGCTTTTGAATGGGCGTGGAGGAGCTTTAGCTTGCTTTATACGTAATTTTTGTGTTGCTTACAATTGTGCTCTGTATGAAGTGCTGTCAATGCTGAGGAGGAAATCTGGTTTATGAAGCTGTTATGTTCTCTGTTTGCAGTCGATTTCGTCCTTATGGCATTTTGGAAATTATTTTGTTTTCCAGCCGAATGACTTATGTTGACTCCTCCATATCTTTCAGCTACTTGCACACACAAGTAATGGGAATAAGTTTAGTTATTAGTTTTGAAAAGTGTAGTGTAATGGAAGGGTAGAAGATCAATCTGATTATGGACTACTGCCTTTGATCTATATTGCTTGATATTGCTTTTATTGTTGGCTAAGTTGCCAAGTTTATGGGCAATCCAAGGTAAGCGCATTGGTCCCTAATAAACTATATAATGTATATCTTATAGGCTCATTCTAATATAGAACTATTTTTCAAAGTAAACAATGTTCTATTAATTTTTTGTATCAAGTTCAAGGCTAGAATAATACATATTACGCAAGTAATGATGACTCCCTAAAATCTTCTTCAAGTTATGTACTTACATTAGTCATAAACTTGGCAACTTAGCCAACAATAAAAGCAATATCAAGCAATATAGATCAAAGGCAGTAGTCCATAATCAGATTGATCTTCTACCCAAGGATTACACTACACTTTTCAAAACTAATAACGAAAC